AAAGACCACACCAACAAAGACCACACCAACAAAGACCACAACAACAACAACAACAACAACAACAACAACAACAACCACAACAACCACAACAACCCAACCACAACAACCACACCACAACAACCACACCACAACAACCACACCACAACAACCACACCACAACAACCACACCACAACAACCACACCACAACAACCACACCACAACAACAACAAGAAGAACAACAACAAGAACAACAACCACAACAACAACCACCACCACCACCACAATCACAACCACAACCACAACCACCACAACAACAACAACAACAAAAAAAACTTATGTCTGTAACGAACATCCCGGCATCTCCTGCGGCAAATTATTACTGACAACAAAGCCTTCACAGATTTTCACAGACCTCAAGCTTTGAGGTTTGTGTAGCCTGAATGAACATTCTTTGGCACAAATCATGGTGCCATTTTTGTGGGACTTCCCGGGTTTTCAGATTATTTTACAAGAAATTTCTGGGCATTTCATCATTTATGATCATTTATGAAGATTAATACCCTCTTGTAAACAAACATACCACTGGAAGATCCACTAGCTATAATCTATAGGCCTCGAGGATTTTCCCATAGCCCAAAAACACAGGGTCCAGCTGGATTTCCCAGCGGAGCTGATGACACCGGATCACCATACATTCCGATAAAAGCCCACTGATTGATCATATTTGCTATGGTTAATGGTTAATGAGATATATTGATCATATATTGATCATAGTTATGCCATTCTTTTCACGTGCTTGATGGTTAAGTCACCATGAAGCAACGCCTAACTCTAAACAAATCTCAAAAATCTGGAACCCAACTACCACAATTTCACAATCTCCAGCCAGGCAGCATCTCCGCCGGCTTGAAATTCTTGTTGAATCTCAGAACCATGCCTTTGGTGCAGAGACGTGGTTGGGATGCGTCGAAGCTGTTCTGATGGGCTGTTGCAAAAACACCAAGATAGTTGTCATTGAGAATCAGCATCGCACTGTAAAGAAGCCACAGATATCCACAGATCAAGTTGCAGTAGGAGAGAGTCGCGCCAATCAGTAGCAAGTACAGCACAGCGGCGCCTGGCCACGCGGGATGATGCGGGGGCCGGGGTTTGTCCAAACACTTGATTGCGGAAAACCTTCTGTCATTACCCTGCCACAGGAAATCAAATAATGACAGGGATCATGATTTCTTTATCACGTACGTCGTCATCATCATCATCATCATCATCATTGTTATTATTATTGCTACCATTACAATCATCAATTATCCTGATCACTATCATGACTATTCTTACCAGCTCACCTATCTTTGTATCCCCCCGGACCCTCAAACAACCCTGAACAAAATTTGCCTATGGCTTATGGTCCTATGGTAGTGAAGAATCCCATGTCATAAACGGCTCAAACATGTTGAAACACGTTGAAACATGTTGAAACTCAGGAAACCACCATGGCACGCCATGGCGATTTCTGGTTGGAAATGAAAAATCCCGCCTTGCAACATCTGCAGCTCCGGATCTAATCTCCAGAAGCGAAAGGCAGACCTCATCAGCTTGTGATGTGGGCGCATCTGTATGTGTATACAAATCTAGGCACATATAACATATGCACATCTATATATATATATATTAAATAATAATGTTATATATATATATAATATGATATGTATATATGATAATGATATGTAAATATGATCATACACTTATGTACCGTATGTATTAAGTTGTACATGTCAAAACACATAATACAGTGGCGTTATATATATAATTATATATATATATGTAAATAATTATGTGTATACATATATATATATATGCAACAAATGAACATGACCCCAAATCTGATTCGCAGCCCGTGGACCTTTTTTGTTGCCTTCTGCCACGGTCCGCCTCTTTTGAGCTCGTGTCACCATGCCGCCTACCCTGTTCCTACAGCTGACACGTGAAGACCATGATGTGTTACACAAACAAAAGCAGCGATTCTACAAACAACCGAACATGATGATAGTAATTGAAACCAAAAAACACATGATATGAACGTCGCTATCTAGATGTGCATCGCAATTAGTAAGTGCATGGTTTGTACGAGTAACACACATTTAAGCGGAATAAAAAAAAAAACAAATCATGACAATCTATCAGCCTATCAATCTATAGGCCTGTGTCTTTACACAATTCTCTATGTCCTTATAAATCTACATATTCATCTAATTAACGCGGTTTAACTATATCTACAATGTGGCCCTCTCTCCAGTTATAAGTTGGTTTATAAGCCCCAGTAACTATAGTTATAAGTACCATAAACCATAGTTATTGGAGTTATAAACCAACTTAGCTATCTTGAGGGCCTCACATTGTAAATCCATATCTGGGTAAACCACATGTGATACCTCCAGTTGCTCGAAAGTATCCCGAGTCAACCATCGCTCCGCGTCTTCAGAGAGTGATTGGTTATCGGATAGAACAAGAACAGTGGTTAATCCTCCATAAATAAAGGTTTCAATGAAAAACAACATGGAAAATATGGAGAAATCATGGGACATCTTCTATATATGCAGGTTTTAATGGGAAAAATCATCTATAAATGGTCAATGTTCCATTGTCGCATTTCACTACCCGAAAGTATATAAATGTTCCAAAGTTTGAAGAACAGAAATGGAGTTGCGCCTATGTATCCACATATATGCACATGGTTTCGATATAAATATGTTATAGAAACATATTGACTGACATATGTTGAGAATATATTTAGAATCGACATTGTTTCTATTGGTTTTTGCAAAGCACAGGCCTGTCAGGCTGAACGCGGAATCCAGCACAGAATGCAAATTGTGCGAGGAGGTGATTTTGTTTAAATATGTTTAAATAGAGGATGAAGACACATGATATTTAAAACCGTCAACAAATGACATGTATACATAATTTTAGCATCGAGAGTGATGTTTGCCCATCGAGAATCTCATTTTACAGTCATACAACGGCGATTTCTACGAGTAATTCCCTTGCCATGCATGTTCACTAGAGAGTTCTCACTTAATAAAGTTATACCCTCCAGTCTATCCACAAACAAACTGAAGCTATCTCGACCTGAACAAAGCAACAGCAGTCATGCTTAAGGGAACTTTACCACCGCTCATCGTTGACACACCACCATCTCTGTCGACAGGGCTTAAAACTTAAACCCAACCATGAACCATTCATTCATCAGTCGGTTTACCCGTTTTCCCGTCATTCATTATCATAAAAACCGGTCAGATCACAATATCTGACAAATCCAGTTCTTAAATTCGATGCCATGATTCCAGATTATCTTCTGCAAAAACACCAAAAACATATGGTTTCTGCTGGTCGACTTATGATTCAGAGTCAGAATCGCCAGTTATCTCCAGTTGTCTTGGTTGTCTTCTCTGTTTTTGCTGGTCAAATCCTCATTGACTTCTCTGTTGGACGTCCAAGTTGAGTGGCCTGCGCCAACTTCGTCAGTTGCCATCGCCCCAACCCATCTGAAAAAATCTGGATTTTCGAGGCTTAGAGAGAATCACCAGAATGTCAAGGAGTCAAAGCATTTTTACAGGAAACATATGGAAATATCATGAAATATCTATATTTATCTATATTTATAGCTGGTAAATCCGTGGTTTCCTGTGGATGTGCATCGTTTTTTTCACTCCCACCTCTTCCTTCAGCTCCGACATGTCGTCCATCACAACGTCGTGGAACCATGCGAGCTGGGAGGCCTTCGCGCTTATGCGCCTGCACCAGCAACATCCAGCAACTATGCATCACTATGTGGCAGTGAACCCCCCTCCAAACAAAAATCAGAATCCCACATTTACTATATAATATATATATATGTGTGTGTGATATATATGATATCATATGTGTGTGTGTGTGTGTCATGTCTCACTTTCAATGTGGTAAAATTCATGTAAAATTCTACATTGCATAATGAGATTCTAGCTGTTTCTACGGGTTGCTTCCGCTAGTGGGCACCTCTTTAGCCCCGAGGCCCAAAGCTTCTTCAGCTGAAGCCTGGCAACGAACGGCTTTATACATTGGAAAACCATAATGAAAATGGGTCGTAAAAGGAGTTTATAGATGTTTAATGATTTTTATAGACTTTCCTGCACTTAAACCAACAAACTCTTGCAAATTCCCTTTGATCGTAGCTGGGTAGAAAGATGATGAAAACTGTATGGCTTAGGGACTGGTTGTTTTATGTTGTGTTTCTTTTGTTTGTCCTTTTGGGTTGGTAACTTCAGTGCTTCAGGGAAAATCACAAGATTGCCTGCCTCTGCAAATTTTGATTCTCAGCTGATCTCCAATAAATGATGCCCTGATGGTGGTCGTAGATCACAGCCCACTGTGTGTGATCCTCGGTTTCAGGCATATCTGCAGTTTTCGGATGCCCGGAAACCTGAAGTAATCCCAGCTAGCCAATAATAAGAGCTAAAAAAAGGCAATGAGCACACTATGTTCAACAAATAAACTGGCCAATGGTAGCTAGATAACAGTTTGTTGGATGTAGGTAGGCTTGTCCAATAACCAAGGTTTCCCTGGTCGTGGTTGCTATTATTTTTGGGGAAATGTGACACTCAGGGATCCGCCCAAAGATCGAAAAACATGTTCCCTTACATAACTTACTACGGCAAACAAATAGCAGTTCAATCACTGTAATCATTGAAATCAGTTAAATCATGTTGAATGAATTAGATAACTTAAATCAGTTCAATCATTTTAATAAGTTAAATCACTTAAATCAGTTCAATGAACTATAAATAATTTTCACTGAAAACACTTAAATCAGTCGCGTAAAATTCGTCTGAATTTCGTGTGAACATTGTGTGAAATCCTGGCCATACCGAAAAACCCGTAGCAGAAGTCTCAGTAGCCAAGCGGCGCCTGAACCTTCACCCGAGCCCTTCCCGCTATCTGTGCCCATCCTTACATGCGGACAGCGGTAAAGGGCTGGTTTCACCATGCAACATGGGGAAAACAACCATCGTTGGATATTTTTTGGGGGTTCATCGGTTCATCCAATGAGGATTTCAGGATTTATGGTTGAATTGTGATAGTTCAGTTGGGTTTGTTCATGAACAAATTGGATTTGACCAACAAAGGTATGAGGTTTATTTCCTTGATTTGTGATAGCTAAATTGGTTAACATAAGTGTAGGACAACACTGGAAACACTACATGTTTCTGGTAGGTATAAACTCACAAACATAACGAGCGCATCACCGTAGAATCATTTCCTACACATCCCTAAATGAGTCCCAAATATATGTTACCCTCTGGTAATCTGTTACATAGCGAACTGGAAAATGGTCCATAGAAATCATAGAAATAGTTGATTTACCGTTCTTAAAGATGGTGATTTTCCAGTGCGCAAGCTGTTAAATTACCAGAAGCTATCCCCTACATCCATCGTGGTTTCATTTGGGCCTGGACGGTTTGATCCTTTTGGCAACTGCGCCATTGGCAGTTGTAACCACAGCTATATATTGGGAATTTATTATTCTCACACATACATATATATATAAACAAATATATATATATATATAAACAAATATACATATATATATATATACAAATATATAATATATATATAAAACAAATATGTATATATATATATATATTATGCATATATGGATACAACCAGCAGGGGGGACCATCATGTTCTGCTTGTGATGCTGGAAGTTGCCATGTAATTTGCACCGCAAAATTGACGTTCATCAAATTCACGATGGATTTGTTTGAGGCAACGTTTAGAGGAACCCTTGGTATATCTATTGGATATGGTAACCATATGATCATATGGTTAATGTAGGAAAAACAACAATAAACCACCCACGACTGGGAATGGTAACCATACAATGTGGTGCCCCCTAGATAGTTAAGTTGGTTTATAACTCCAATAACTGTGGTTTATGGTACTTATAACTATAGTTAATGGGGTTTATAAACCAATTTATAACTGGGGGGCACCACATTGTACCACCTAATAAAACTGGTACTGGGTGATGGTAAACATGGCATTGTTTTACCCACACCAAAGACATTTTCCAACGGATCGAAGCTGCGGATTTGCAAGGACCACCACTTGTAGCCCCCAAAAAAGATGACCAAAAGTTCCAGGATGTTAGTTTGATGATATACCCTCTGGTAATGACTAAGAGTTTGCTATTGAAAATCGTACATTTATAACTGATTTACCCTCTGGTTATTTAACATAGCCATGAAGAAATCCCTTATAAATGGAAGTTTTAATAGGTGAACCATCTATAAATGGGCCATTTTCATCCATTTTCCATGGCCATGTTAAATAACCAGAGGGTACCTATTAAAAATTGTGATTTTCCATAGTTTTTTGTATGTTTACCAGATACTCCAAACAGCTTCACCATTTCACCAGCCCCAGGATCTGCAAACCCATTGGCACCGTCACAGTGTTCAAAACGTGCACTGCTTGCATGACAGCCTCCTGAAACGGGGGCATACGGGGGCCAGCCGTCAGCCTACAGTAACCCCAATAAGGTGGGAAAGTAAAATCCAACAAAAAGAAGTGACAACTTACTTTTCGATCTTGAATCTTTGTGTTTTGGTTGCTGTATTAATCTGTATATATATATATTGCAGTATTATGCTTTTTCGACGCGGCATTTTTGGTGGAAGTTGAACTTTGGATCCCCCAGTCTCACGAGGATTTCCCCCATTTCCAGCACTGCCAGGACTTGGGTCAGAAACATCCACCCCTAAAATGGATGGTTTCTACAACCATCATGTGCTTGGGACACTCTGAATGTAGCTCCTTGTCTCCCCAAAAAACAAAGGGAATATTTTTTAGCTCATAGCTCCTTAGGAGCTCCCAAACGACCGGAGATAATCAGTCTTATGATTATATATGATTTCCCCAGGCCCTATACCTTGTGCTCCATGTATGAAACATTTACCAACATTCATATCCATCCCAAAAAATCGTCCAGATGCACCGTACATAGTGCCAGATATGCCAGGCCTGGTAGTCCTTCGGCTGCGGCATGCCACGCTTCACCAAAAAAAGGCGCTGGAAGCGATCATCGGGGTACCAGCTCCCAGGCACACTGACAGCCTGGTCAGATTGGCGAGGCCAAAGAAGCAAACATGAAACGCTCCAATATGTGGAGCCAACAAATCTCATCAAATTTCATGCAAAAAAACAAATGAGGTTCTTTAAGAAGGATACCCCAAATCCTCTGTTTGAAGTCATTGATTTTCCCCTTTAAAATGCCGATTTTTTTAAGTCCAAGTCTCGGTCCGAGCCAGGGATTCTTTCCATTGCAGGTGTTTCACCTGCGCCGCCCGGGAAAAATCGATGGGACTGATGGTTCAATCATTTGAGGATGTAGCACATGTAAGCACTGGGTAAAGTAAGATAGGGATGAATGGTGGATTAATACTATTACATACTATTACAGTCATTAAAAACAATTCTTTAACAAGGCCGGATTGTTGAAGGGGTCTTGGGCTACTTCAACGGGACATGCGTTTGGGGCAACCCGGGATTCTTACGAAAGATTGTTGCTTCCACAATTTGTCACTGAATGGTGGGTCAGTGCTATACGCGACTCAGTGTGATGCTGATGATTTTGGAACCTCACCATGACAGAAAATTGTTACACACACATATATATATATTTATTTATTTACTTACTTATTGATTTATTTACCTCTATCTGTCTATATACAGTATATATATATATATGCATGATCCAAAACAAGAAGGAGACAGAGCAAAATCATCCCCACCCCCTTCAAAACCTTCCCATGAGGCCATGACTGGTTCTTCGATATCTCAAATGTCGGTCCAGTCACTCCAAGTTGTTGGGACCAAATTTGGCCCAACTCCAGTTGTATCCACTACAAATATTATATGGTGGGTGTAGCCCATTTATGGTAACATATGATAATATATAATAATATATGATAATATATGAGAATATATGATAGTATCCAGTTGTATCCCCAAATGATGATGATAATATATGACAATATATGATAATACACTACAAAACTACATTGAGTTGGCTATGTGTTGATTTTTAGTCTTGATTGAAGCCCCACAACAATGGGCCTAGACACTGTCGCAAAACGTGAAACATATTGAAACTCCATAGCTTTAAGGTACCTCCCCCTTTTTAGAGAAATACACTTGGTTGGAGCGTAATCCGGTTGTTGGTGCAACCTCATCCCATTCCAAAAGGTTGAACAATCGGGCAAGATGCCGCTTCAACTTGCCAGGAATAAGGGGGTTCGTTGGTCATGATGCCGAAGCCTTCCTTGCCATCGTTTGGGTCCTGTAATCAGGAGCCAAGTCGTCTGTCACTGTGGCTTTAACTGCTTCTAACCACCGAACTTGAGGTCTAAGATGGGGCACATCCACATGTCCAAAAAAGGGAATCTGATTGTTTTCCAAGTTAAGTCACATTGGTGAAATAGAACATGTCCCTGCGCAAACACACATTGGATTTAAGCACCTGGCTGTGGGATCTAGAAGAATCTAGAAAGTCATGGGGATGATGGAGACAACAGCCAACTGGAGTCAACAGCCAACTGGGTCTTACATGTGCCAAGCCACAATTGATATATTGTTTGCTGGGCATCGAAAAAATCAGCAATGATTAGCCATGAGCATTGGAAAAAAAATCACTGGCTTTGCAGGCACAAAAAAACAGGCTTCAAATCACACACGTGATCACACGTATAGATACGTATATAAGAACTACATAGATGGACACACAAACACACACACACATATATATATATACCCTCTGGACTCTGGTAATTTAACATAGCCATGGAACATGGCCCATTTATAGATGGTTTGACGTTCTTAGAAATTGTGATTTTCTTTCCATGGCTATATTAATATGTTATAATATGTTAGTCATTGGCGCAGATGGTACACATACGATCATAACCAACACATTTCGTCGAAGACCTGGAGTCCAAGAAGTTCCAGTTCCGGTCATATGGATAGCAACTCGCAGTCACTTTCCTCAACCCCCTGGCTTCCTATGTTGCAACAATATTCAACAATATCAACAATCTAGCAGCTAGAAAATCTATGACCCAAAAAAAATCCAAAGTGCGTGTTCGTTTCAGCAGAGTCTTATCGCTTTTTTTCCCAGGCTCCAAGTCATAAACGCAACTCGGGGGTTGCATTCATAAGTCACAAGTGTTCATACAGCCAGCCGTAGCTGTAGGCTGCCCATATGTGGGGCTAAAATCTCATGGTTGAAGCCATAGAAATCACCTCGCACCTCCAAGTAACCTTCCCCGATGCCAAACCTGCCAAGCCGTTCTCCTCGTGGGTCACCAAGCGACCTGCCAGAAACTCCAGCACCACACCGCGGCGGCCGTCGCGCAGCATCCAGTGCAGCCCTCCAACACGCAAGGACGCCACGCTGGCGCTAAACCTTGGCCATAGTTGGTTGCACCCATTATGTTTAAAGAGAACGCGGCATGGGCCATGTTTTCATATGATGATTGCATTCCACTGGCCAGCCATCCAGCCCACAACGATGGAATGGAAAGAAACACATTGCACATTCCTGTCCTTCCTGACAGTTCCTAATCAGCAACACGGGCCTTCACCAATTTTCTTTACAACACAACAACACTATTCCCCTCCAATAATTTAACTAAAGCTATTGAACATCAGCATCTCAGGTAAATCATTGGTACCCTCTGGTAATTTAACATAGCTATGGAAAATCACCATTTTTCATGGGAAAATTCACAAAAAAAATGGTGATTTTCAATAGCTATGTTAGTTTACCAGAGGGTAAATCCCATTAAAATCCCTAGCGATGTTACATTCCCCAAGGGGCCCAAGGGCTTCCAACCCAAAGTGCTTTCCGGACGGAACTTCACCGAGCTGCTGCACTTGGCTGAGCTGTGCCTCCAAGTCCTGGTGAAAAGGGGTAGGCTCCAGATAGAAATTGCTTGGACACCAGGAAATATGTGGCATATAAATAATGTTATGTATATGTTATATGTATATATAACTATATATATATATATGATCATTGAACTAGCATCCTGGTGGCACACTGAACTCGGCATCTTTTTTGGGGGTTCCGAAACAACACAAGTAATTAATTAGTGTCGCATAACCTCATAAAACATGAGAAGAAACAGTTTGGTCCTGTTTGCGAAAGAATCTTGTGAACCAATCCCCTAGAACAGAACCACATTGAAGAAACAGCATTTATGTTTCGTGGTTTCACAACGTTCACAAATGTTCACAACGTTCACCCCCAAGCGGCCCATCATGGCCCATCGCTCCTCCAGACCGGAAAAACTCTCCAAAGCCCAGCGGCAAAGATGAAGAACATCTATGGAGGCATTGGAGGAGACGGAAGGATACCTCTGGCGGCAAATGCCATTTCTGATGGGATATACTACCGCCCAAATGGTTGATAAGATGCAATGGTTGTGAAACATCACATTTGGGGATACTACATATGTGTATATATATATATATTATACAATTATATATATTCAGACACACACACACAGAGATTTGTTCCTGTTACCCAACTGGCACGCGGACATGCATCTCTAACTCTACAGTGCCTTGGGTAATGTCTAAACTTGCCCACGCTAGATTTTCTTTCAAAGAGGCATGCATCATCACATTTGGGCTCACCTGTTCTTAACTGATGTCTTCATTCTTCATCTTAGCCTCTCCATGTGATTGTCTCAATGCTGTACTTTGATTCTAGCACAATCGTCACTATAACCTAATCACCTATATATTATATATATCTCTCTCTCTCTCTCTCTCCATCGGCCTCTCCAACATTGTGGCATGACTTCCCTACAGTTTTTCCGTAGCGTTTGCATGGTGCTGTGCTGGTAAAGCAATATTGACCACCCACATGGACTGATGCTTGAAATCCCCAACCATGTCCCGGACATGGCAAGTCCGACTGGGGATGGTGGATCCCTGATGGCTTTATTAACTTACCTATCATCTCCAACAGCAAACAGTTATAAACAGTTACAGCGTCAATCTTGAAGCTCTTCCTGCGGTCCTAATCTCTTGGAATCTCTTCAAATCGTTTCAGGGCCGTGAACCAGGCACGGACCTCCTTCAAGCCAGTACTGCTAAGACTTAGATACCCTCTGGTAATTTAACATAGCTATTGAAAATGATGATTTATAATGATTTATAGTGGATTTTCCGATTAAAAATTGTGATTTTCCATAGTTTTTTGTATGTTTACCAGAGGGTATCCTACTCCACATGACCGGCTGCGCAGTTCCAGGCAGTGACGGGCTGCTGAGTTCCAATCAATGTTTGAGCATCGCAGCTCAAACCCGCATCGTTCCTCTGCAGAGAGAGGCATCTGGAGATGGGAAAAGACATTGGTCGATTGGTTCATTAACCATAGGGAAATGGAGGTTTATCCACCAAGAAATGGAGGTTTTATATGGTTTTATATGGGAAAATCATGGGAATATTAGTGGGATATACCTTAGGCTGTCGCTCTAACACGTTTTCTTTATCCATTACTGCCCCCTTAAATTTTCCATTACTGCTCCCTTAACTTTCCATTACTGCTCCCTTAACTTTCCATTACTGCTCCCTTAACTTTCCATTACTGCTCCCTTAAATTTTCCATTACTACTCCCTTAACTTTCCATTACTGCCCCCTTAACTTTCCATTTCTGCTCCCTTAAATTTTCCATTACTGCTCCCTTAACTTTCCATTACTGCTCCCTTAAATTTTCCATTACTGCTCCCTTAACTTTTCATTACTGCTCCCTTAAATTTTCCATTACTGCTTCCTTAACTTTCCATTACTGCTCCCTTAAATTTTCCATTACTGCTTCCTTAACTTTCCATTACTGCTCCCTTAAATTTTCCATTACTGCTCCCTTAACTTTCCATTACTGCTCCCTTAAACTTTCCATTACTGCTCCCTTAAATTTTCCATTACTGCTCCCTTAACTGTTCCCTTAGCTTTCCATTACTGCTCCCTTAACTTTCCATTACTGCTCCCTTAACTTTCCATTACTGCTCCCTTAAATTTTCCATTACTGCTCCCTTAACTTTCCATTACTGCTCCCTTAACTTTCCATTACTGCTCCCTTAAATTTTCCATTACTGCTCCCTTAACTTTCCATTACTGCTCCCTTAAATTTTCCATTACTGCCCCCTTAACTTTCCATTACTGCTCCCTTAAATTTTCCATTACTGCTCCCTTAACTTTCCATTACTGCTCCCTTAAATTTTCCATTACTGCTCCCTTAACTTTCCATTACTGCTCCCTTAACTTTCCATTACTGCCCCCTTAAATTTTCCATTACTGCTCCCTTAACTTTCCATTACTGCCCCCTTAAATTTTCCATTACTGCTCCCTTAACTTTCCATTACTGCTCCCTTAAATTTTCCATTACTGCTCCCTTAACTTTCCATTACTGCTCCCTTA